GGTATCTGATTGTCTTTCAGGAGATTACTAAATTTCTAGGTAGCATGCGAAATGTATGTAGGCCTATGTGTGTGTGTGTGTTTGTCTATACATTTTGTTCATAACCAGTCAGCATGATAATAATCTATTACATTCACTCAGTGCTTCTATTGCACTATCACTCACTTTCAGTCAGCATGGGGCCTCTTTTATCCCATCTAATCTGTAGGTAGTGCCAGGAGGTACAGGGGCCTGGTGCTTTACAGGGAAACTCAGACATCATTGAGTTTGTCAACTCATATCTAACCTCAGACATGCACTGGGGTCCAAAAGTTGGAGACCACTTGCGAAAATGCTGTTCTTTGCATTTTTCTCATTTAGGATTTTTGTCATTTTGAGCACTTGAATGAAAGGTTGAATTGAAAAATGATGAATTTTGGAACGTCTTTTTGTTTTAATGACAGCAGCACTTGAGCTCGGTGAATACAATTTTAAGATCAACATTTTCTAGGAAGATTTGTTATTAAAAGTAAGCAAGAACATCTGACTTTCTGCAAAAAGAGTTCACAATTTCAGTGTCACAAAATGATTTATGAACATTACTGGCTTCAATATTTTTATATATTAATTAAATATATTATATATTTTTTTATTTGTAACTATTTAAATGATTTCTTAAATAACTTTTTAAGAGTACATATTCTACCTCAGTTTTAAATGAAATAAAAAAAATCCCATATTTTCAGTGTGGTCTCAAATTTTATTTTTTTGTCTCCCCTCCAATGAATTATCATTCTAAATAATTTGTAACAATTAAAAACTGTGATGTAGAAGAATTAGATGCAAGGCCATTTGTCTATGGCATTTGATATCAGGAAGTAGTGCTTACAACACTGTGTTGTTATTGCCTTTTGTGTTGTAAATTGGCACGTTATGATGCAAAGAGTGAAAATGTTCCTTGATAGTGAGCATTCATTTGTAAGTGTTTGTGAACAAAACAAGCTCTGGCATTTAAATCAACCGTGGAGACTATCTAAACATTGGCCTCTCTTATAAGCAGCTGGTAGGCTATATTATCAAGCCCTATAAGAACAGTTTTATGTGATTGGTTTGTAAATGCTATGTCTTTTATTAGCATTTCACTGTTAAGTTTTTTTTTAAATTTAAATTAGCATTATATATAAGTAATATATTTATATATGTAACAGGTAACCACAAAAAACTTATTTAAATGCAGATGAGGTAGTTTTGTGCAGGCCTGGCACTAAGGTCTAAAAATGATTTTTCTTCTAAGCATAAAGTTTTGCATTAAAGGAATATCAGACATTCTGCCAGACAAAACAATTATTGTTTTAGTCCCTTTATCAAATCTTTCTCTAAGTGAATGCAGTATGTTTAAATTCGGTGTATTTATTTACAGGAATGACATGAACTTGCACCTGGCAAGGTTTTGGATACATAACTCTTATATATGATCACGTTGCAGCCAGGTGACGGTTTTTGCTCGAGGGAGATACTTTCAAAATGAACTTCAAATTGCGCAACATTTGCTGTCAATCATCATGAATGAGTCAAACACCTCCCAATACATTACCAAACTCTTTTGCTCTCTGGTTCTGGCTTTTAATTTATTTACAGGAATGACATGAACTTGCACCTGGCAAGGTTTTGGATACATAACTCTTATATATGATCACGTTGCAGCCAGGTGACGGTTTTTGCTCGAGGGAGATACTTTCAAAATGAACTTCAAATTGCACAACATTTGCTGTCAATCATCATGAATGAGTCAAACACCTCCCAATACATTACCAGATTCTTTTGCTCTCTGGTTCTGGCTTTTAAACTTCCGAAACGATCACACTGCTTTCACAATGTGCCTATTCGCCTCCAGGGCTGGAAGAGTTTCCAAAGTCTCATTCCAATCTCTGACTAAGAGCTTAGATCTCATAACAGACTAATGGATTGTTAATGGAGTGTTCAGAGAAAAATTCAACTGAAAAGTCCATAACATCATTTTTGTTAAAACTCTCTCCCTCGTCTAAACCTACAAGCATGACAATGATCCTGATTAGCAACCTTTTCAAAGTTTCCCGAGAGACTAACCATTATTTAAAAATACAGACTTTGGGAGTCACTTCACAGGACTCAAAAATGGGTGAAAATTGGATTTCTTTTTTTATTTTTAGGGTATAGCATTGTGTCCTCATTATTCATTTTGACACATTTCTGTACTTCACAGTTCAAGATGAGGACAATTACGCCACAGGAAAACATTTGACTTTGATTTAAAAAATACAATAAGTCAATAAATCAATGTTTATAGACAAACTCAGTGTTTTTTGCTCTCCAGCCAAATGATTTAAGACAGAAATATAAGAGAAAAGGAGGACAGTAAAATTACAGTTCTTCACCTTTACAGATTATCTGTTGAAAACATGAACAGAGAATACAGAAAGGGGAGATATGCAAAAGTGAGACATTTTTGCGATGATATGTTGATATGATGACGTCTATATACCGTCAGGCTCAGTTACATTTTATTGTCTTTTGTTATTTAAAGGGCAATCAATCCTGACATGTATTTGTTCGACTTTTGCTAAACTCACCCTACATGTCTTTTAGGTGTTTATTTTTGCGTGTGTTTGCCCACACACACCTCACACTAGCTTCACTCAGCTCTAATAGATCAAATAATGACACAAAATGCTATGAGCAGAGCTGATGTGATTGGTTGTCTTCAGTCAGCCGCTCCTGTCAAAGGTTCGCTCTGTTTCAGGAGAGGCTGCTGGCTTGACAAAACTTCAGCAAAGCATGATGGCTGTTAATGTGTAACTTCTCAAATCTGGGATGGTGGTCTTATAGTATGTGCCAGACCTGGCATACGCGTACTCATATACTACTAGACCCATTTATTATGACATCAGCTGTTAACAGCAGTGATAGACCGACCGAATTAATAGGATGACATTTGACCTTCTTGAGCTCAATGAATTCTGAAATATTTTATCTTGTCAATCTGTTTAGAATTCTAAACAATTCTGTTTAGAAAATTTAAATACATTTTCCTATAAAATCATGTACATCTTTTATTTGCTGTCAGTAAACAGGCCAGTGGTTCTCAACCCGCGGCCCGTCACGAATTCAAATGCGGCCCACCGTGCTGAACACAATTTAAAAAAAAATACTTTCAGTTTTACAATTCATTTTAGTTTTTACATTAATTTAAAAATGTACTAAATAAATATAAGCTATAGCCTAATGTTTTTATGTAAAATAATTTTGTTTTTCATATATTATTTTCAAACATGAGCAGTACTCACATAGCCTAATTAATGTTATGCATTTAAAGTAATTTGCACTTGGACCATAGTGCGGCCCGGTGGAAAAAAAGGTTGAGAACCACTGAAACAGGCTACGGTTTGACTAGCAAACTATATTTATTAAACAACGATGACTTTTGTCTCATACACTGACCATTCCAAGGTTTGTGGTCAGTTTTCAGTGTCACATGATGCTTCAGAAATCATTCTAATGAGGCCTGGGCTCTCCTAAAATGGCTGCTATCAGAGCCTCCGGAGTGCTGACGGGGGACACTGGGCTCCGTGGACTGAGGGAGGGCGAAGTTAATGTGTCTGGAGAAACCAGACGCTCTTTCTTGGCGTTGGCCGAAGGGCGCGGGGAGGAGCTCCGTGCTGGGCCGTCGCGGGGACGTGGGCACAGGCTGAGAGACTGCAGGGAGGGAAGAGGTGTCCCGGAGAGCGCCGGTATGGCGGGGCTGCGGCTGCGCTGGCGCTTCTGGTGATGCCGTTTGCTGCTGTGGTTTCCAGGGCTGGGGCTACGAGAGATGAAATTAAAAAGAATATATATATATATATATATATACAAATCATATACTGAAGATTTCAGTGTTATGTAGAAGTTAAAATCCCTTTTATGTTTCTAAATCCTGATGACGTTCTTACACAAAACACAAATGGAGACTTTTCAAAGCATGTTTCCATTCTCAATTAGAGATTTTAAGCTTCAAAAATGGCACAAAACCATAAAGAATTATAAAAATGGTCCATATCGCTTGTGTGCTGTAAGTCTTCCAAAGAAATAATGGCTTTATGTTAGGAAAAGTCCTCAAACATTTGAGCATGGCACTAGCAACGCCAAGGTCATGGGTTTGATTCCCAGGGAAAGCAAGAACTGATAAAAAAAGTGTGCTTTGAATGAAATGTACAGTATAAGTGAATAATTAGGTAATCATGTAAATGAACGGATAGCAAAAAATCTGAATTCACTAAAAATGGGTTGAGTCCTAGCCCATAAGTACCCAAGTCCATGAAAAGACCTCAACCATATTTTAATGTTTTCATGTTTCATGTTGACCCTGTCATGGACCCGTAACCATGAGGATTCTGTCTTGATTTTAAGTCAAACTTCTTTTGGTCTCAGTCATGACTCAGACTCAACCCTCTTCTGGTCTCAGTCCAGGCTCAGACCCATCTCTCTTTTGGTTTCAGTCTTGACTCAGCCTCATCTCTCTTCTGGTCTTGCGTCAAACTCAAACCTCTTCTGATCACAGTCTAGACTCAGTCTCAACCCTCTTCTGGTGTCAATCATGAATTAGACTCATCTCTCTTCTGTTCTCATTCTTGACTCAAGCTCAACCCCCTTCAGGTCTCAGTCTGGACTTAGACTCATCCCTCTTCTGGTCGCTGTCTTGAAACCAAACTTAACCTTCTTCTGGTCTCAGTCTTGACTTAGACTCAACCCTTTTCTGGTCTCAGTCCAGACTCGTCCCTTTTCTGGTCTCTGTCTTGAGACCAAACTGAACCTTCTTCTGGTCTCAGTCTAGACTCAGACATATCTCTCTTCTGGTCTCAGTCTAGATTTAGACTAATCTCTCTTCTGGTCTTGACTCAGACCCATCTCTCTTTTGGTCTCTGTCTCGACTCAGCCTCATCTCTCTTTTGGTCTTGGTCTTGACTCAAACCTCTTCTGGTGTCAGTCATGAATTAGACTCATCTCTCTACTGTTCTCATTCTTGACTCAAGCTCAACCCCCTTCAGGTCTCAGTCTTGACTCAGATTCATCCCTCTTCTGGTCTCTGTCTTGAGACCAAACTGAACCTTCTTCTGGTCTCAGTCTAGACTCAGACATATCTTCTGGTCTCGGTCTTGACTCAAATGAAACCTTCTTCTGGTCTTGGTCTTGAGACTGAACTCAGCCCTTTTCTGGTCTCAGTCTTGACTCAGACTAATCTCTCTTCTGGTCTCTATCTTCCCTCTGACACAGATGTGCTGGTGTCAACTACAACACTTGTTCATATTACGCCAGAAGACTTCGAAAAAACTAGTCTATGAAATTTTAAAGTGCTTTTTTTCTCCTTGATAGCTTCAGTACACACTCATTCAAATGAATGACGAAATAAAGATAAGCACTGTCTTCAAAACAGCTCTTCTGGAGTTCCACAAAAGAAAGAAATTCATACTTGATTATGGAATCAAATCTTGAATATAGCAAGTAAACTCTTCTCTTTTTTTTTCTCTGTGAAATAATGAGTGCTTAGTACTTTTGGGAAGTCTACACACATTTTAATTTCATTTCTGTACAACTATTTATGGTCCATAAATGATAATACTGCAGTATTATCTGAACAAGGGTTTTGTGTCAATTGTGTCAAAGGGTTTTTGAGTCTATTATTGTGGTCTAATTTATTTCTGATTTAACAGCCCATAATCAGCATGTAAAACAAAAACTTTTGTCAGTTACATGTCAGTCAGTCTCTTTCTGTCTAAATGGGCATTTTTCTGACCAGAAGAAGCTCTGCAAGACTTATCTTATATATGGAATGTTGAATATGAGGTATGGAATGTTGAATGTGAATATTTTTACCACAGTGGTTTTGGTTTCATTCTAATACCAGCTATACTGCTAAAACCTCTTTGAAATGGCAGAATATTGCGTTTCAAACTGCAGTACTTTGTGTCTTATTTCCATTGTGTGGCATCTAACATTTGTTTGATATTCAAATGACAAAACAGAGTCTTTATGTTTGTAATTTGTGAATGTCCAGCCTCAAATACAAATCAGACTGCAAAAAATACTTCAAATGTTGATAATGGCAATGCCAGAGCACATTGACCTAGTCATCATGCCCTACAACATGCTCGGAGCTACTGAGCTGCGCGTGCAAACAAAACTAATATTAGCATTTGATATGAATCAGTGTAGCTGTGTGAGAGCAGCGTGAACCTGAAATGGTTCTGTCACTCCTACGATGCTGTTGGTGTTGTTACTGTAATATCCCAGAATATATTCTCCCGGGTCTCTTGGCAGATCCTCCTCAGAAAACGTCACCTGAAGGTCATGAATAAAACAAAAAATTAAGGATAATGCTAGCAGCACTGGCTACTCAATAAATCTTCCTTGTTAGTATTAATACTGTTTGGTCATTCCCTAATCTTAAAGCTTTCAATCCAAGATTATCCTGGAATGATTTGATTTTGGGATTAAAGCATTGTCCAGTGCACAGAGAGAGACGTAGTATCTGATAGTATCTTTCAGATCTCATCACAACTTACGCACACGACTAACAAATGCCACGTCCTACCTGTGTCGAATGCTCAGATTTGGCCCGTACGTATGCAGCGTAATCCTTGTGGTGCTTAAATCCCACCTAAAACAAAGTAAAATGAGTATTTAAATAATTTAATTATTTAAGGTGCAGATTTGGTGGGTGCCTGGAGGTGTTTTTAATTAACATTTAAAGGAATTTAATCAGAGACTGAAATTTGCTCATTAAATCACAAACAGCAGACAAAACTATTTCGAAATAAAAATGAAAAACAATATAAATGAAATCAAAAGAATAAAATATCTGCAGTGTATCATAGGATGTGAATATATATTGTACTGAATATTTCTGTATAGATAAACAAGTACATCCTGGTCATGTTGCAAGCTAAACAACAGTGACTTTTGTATTCATACAACCCATCAACAGTTGTGAAAGCACGCATAATGCAACTGATCAGTTCACATAGTTAAGTGTCAGATAAACATAACTCAGTTTTCAATTAATACACAAGTCTCTTTATAGTACAAAGGTTTTTGTGTTTATTGTTTGATATTAATGCTTTGTTTAAGCATTGACTAAAATTACCTGAGATTATGTCTGAAAATTAGGCTACAAAACAGCATAATTTATGGCAACCTGTTCCCACAAAAAAAATTGTATCTCACAAATCAGACAATTCAGACTATAAACTAACTAAACTAAGATGTAAACTCTGAATTCTGAGAAAAAAAGTCACAATTATGAAATACACTGCAAAAAAAGATTTTCTTACTTAGTATTTTTATCTTGTTTTCTTGTATTATTATCTAAACATTCTTGAATCAAGATGCTTTTACTTGAGAAGCAATATGACTTAAGATATTAAGTCTTGTTTCTAAAAAAATAAATAAACAACATTATTATTTTTGCTTAAAACAAGAAAAATATCTGCCAATGTTTAAGAAAAATAATCTTAATTCAAAGGCAAAACAAGATAATTTTCTCTTGTTTTAAGCAAAAGAAAAAAGAAAAACAAAACAAAATGTAGATAATGTAGTCATTTTGCTTCTCAGTGCATGAATATTTCTTGCAATTTATCTCTTTTTGACCTTTGAATTTTCTTCTCAGAATTGTGAGTTTATATCTCGCAATACTGAAACAAGACAATTGTGAGATATAAACTCTGAACTGTGGGAAAAGGTTACAAATACCTTTTATTATTATTATTACTATTATTATTATTATTTGTATCCTGTGGTGGAAACAAGCTTCCATAATAATTACACCATGGGCACTTCACATCTATCAAAATAATTTATAATATATTTTGTGAATTTATTGTGCTGTTAAATGTATATATTTTTTCCATGACAAAAATATGCAACAATAATTGCAAATAATGTATAGGTTAATTTCCTTGAAAACAAAAGGCTATGCTTCTGTGGTTCTTTCACAACATTGCTCTGTTTGTTAAATTTTCCTGACTTGCCCAACATAGCAACACTGGCTCAACCAATTGCGTGAGTTTGGGGGCGGGACTATCTATTCATTGACCAATAGTAGGTAGGGAGAATGTTTGGGGGAAAAATGTCTAAAATTATTATTGCTGAGAAAGTGGAGCACACAAATGCACACTTTACCTTTAATAAGATTAATAGAGTTAATTACACCTAATATAATGTCATTGTGGTTGTGTAATTTTTATAATAATATAATGCGTGTAATTTGTGAAAAAAAAAAAAATCAGTTGTGGACAAGCTGAGCTTTAATGACATTAATGTTAAAAGTAGTTTTATGTGAAAATGCCTTTCATTTATTACCTTGTACAGTCCCACCCAGTCCCAAGAACTCCTCTGAAATCCATGGGCCATTGAGAGTTTAACTGTAGCATCAGAGAACTTGGTCCATTCCTTCTCCACTTCCAGTGTCACTAATGGTAAGTTCACCTTAAAGGGAAACTGAGCAGGACAGAGGAAGATGGGACAGAATCCTACAATCAACTGTAGGTATTATGAATATAAAAATGAAATATTTATATCAACAAACAAAAAAAATCAGTGAGAAAATCATTTGAATTTATTAGCAGTTTGTCTGAGGCCACAAGGAACTTTCTTTAACTCGTAAATGTCAAAGTGTTACGATAACAGATACCTCACATGACAGGCCTGAAATACATACAGCACTGCTCACAGACTATCCAGTGTCTTTCCCGCCACTTTTAGACTCACATGCAAAGAGAAGAGGGCGGACACCGGCTTGTGATCACTAATAGTGAAGCCCATATGACTGCGGTAGTAGTGCTGGGAAACTCTGGTGGCGCCGCCCAGCCATGAGGTCAAACCCCGCTGTAGTGCAGAATTATGGGACGGCACAGGGGAGCCCGTCCTGCGCAGACGCCACAAGATGCGATCCGTCCAAGCAGGCTTCCTCTTTTTTGCACTAGGAAAGGAAGCCAGGTTTAAACGAGAGTCCAGAGAAACAGAACGACTCATGTAAAAAAGCATAACAGACCTTGTGTCATAAGTATGTGTCCCCACATCAAACTTGTAAGTTGGCGGGAAATTGAGGGGTCCTTCTATAAACCCCTCCAGAACGGATTCGCTTTTTTTTGCCATGTTGAGCTGTGACAAAGACAAAAAAGACAAAATGTTCTTTCACTTTATCTTTTTAACAACAACCCAATCTAGCAGACATCATCACAACATAGTGTGCACATCATGCACTGAAGAGCTGAATCTGGCCGGTTTGTTTATAGATGTAGTACACTGACCTCTAGTGGTAACAGAATTTAAAAAAAACTGCCAAGATCTGTACAGAGGCATCTGGTGTTATGTGATTGAGACAAGGACAATTTTCTGAGCTTATCGGATATGTTCAACATTGCTTCAACAGTTAGATCTGTACATACCCTTGAAATCACATGCACCTGTGCAATTAGTATCCTTTAAGCAAACTGTGACACTATAGCTCTTTTACCTGATCTTTTTCCCACAGTAGAGGCAGTTTGTCATTCTCAATTGCACTTTTCACCACGTGAATGTCATAACCTTCAATTCGGAAGTTCAGATCACCGAACCAGAACACCACACTGTGGAGAATGCAAAAATTTCCAGTGAACTTAACAGGTCAAAGTACAAAGTGTAATCTGTACAAAGTACATCTGTATAAAGCTACTCAGATTAATGCTCAAATACAGATTAAAAGACTGTATTAAAAGAACATTACAGTTTAAATGCATCAACCAAAACAATGTTGTTCTGCAACACGCTTGTAGTTTTGTTTTAAAAACGGCCATTTCTTACATATTGTAGTTTAATAATACATAAGTAAGCCTAGGCATCAAAGATGCCTAGTTTTCCAGGTACCCACTCGTGATCCAGCACACCCACAGCCGTGCCGCCCTCGAACTGCTGCTGCTGCAGGATGCTTTCAAAGTCCTCCATCCGCTGCTCCAGATTACGCATGTGAGCCGGCAGGTGGCAGTTGAGGAAGCACACAGGGTGTCCGAAAACCATCATGCGTGCACTTACGCCCCCTTTATTCCCCTGAGACAAACATATTGAGGCAGAGAATAATGGGAAGGCATTAATAATACAGCAGCTCTGGACTCCATAGTAAAGTGTTTTTTGTGCCTGCCCTACTGGTGAAAGAAAAAACAACAACATTATTATAGAGATTATTTACTCACCCTTATGTTGTTCCATACTATTATGCTCTTATTTTTTTCCATGGAATCAAACGGAACATTTTTAATTTTTAATCTTCATGCAGCTCTTTTTTCCATGTGATAACAGTTTATAGCAACCACAGCTGTCAAACTCCAATAAAGAACAAACATTCAATTGATTGGAAAGGTTGGAATTGGTTGAATGAATACACAGCTTTCACAGAATGACTCGGTTATTTGAGTCTGAACCGGACATCTTGTTTATGAATGAAGAGAATGAACTTGGATGAATCTTGTTTGTGAAAAAGAATCAACACTTGACTGACTGACAAGCGTTATTAACTAAAACTATTAATAATCTATTAAAACAATAAACATAAATTGAAATAAAGCTGAAAAATGTGTATAAAATAAAATAAAAAATGAAATAAAATAAATATTAGATGAAACACTTCAAAAATGAAAATGTTGCCTTGGCAACTAACTGAAATAAGTTTAAATCCTACAACTACTAAAGTCGAATAAAATTTAATTAAAGCTATTTAAAAAAAATATATATATATA